GGATGTTGTGACATACAGTGATGTGATCACAGGCCCCTGTGACTATTAGTCTAACAAGCAGATATATAAAAGGATTCCATCCAGGGAAAAAACAGGAGGAATCAGATTAGGCTAATCAAATCAGTCCTATCTCTGAACTTCCAATAAGATATTTCAGTGAATTTCTGTTTTTCATAAGCATATGAATTGAGGGGTTTTATTACTATCTTGAGGTAGAGCCAGGTAGTGATATGTAATTCACACATGCTTTAATCTTCATGAGAACCAAAAAATGTTGAAACGATTTTCACAATTTATATATGGAGACACTAGGGATCCAAGAATTGCATCATTTGTTTCTTCCATTATGGGGAAAATAAATATTTCATCCAAGAACTGCATGATTCCCAGTTCACCTCTATAATAAAATGCAGATCCACATGGGAAACCCTCATAATCTCTGTACTTCTCTCTTGGGTCCTGTCAAAGGGCTCTAACTTTAGCATTAGTTTTAACAAAAATGTAAACCAAACCAAAAGAAAACATTGTTTCTAGTCACCTAATGCCTAAAATGAGGCAGGCCTTCAGGTTAATTGAGAATTATAAATTTATTTCCTAAGGGCCACCCCCTCTGAATCTCAGCAAATAGCAATGATAAATGAAACATCTTTAAATGAAACTAAAAATACAGAGCTTTTTATAAAATATGAGAAAAATCCTTCCTTGCTATAAGAATGGAAAATAACTACAAGATGCTGATGAGGGCACAGGCCAAAGTCTCATTGGGTCAATACCTGAGAGAAAAGCAAAGCCTGATCTCAGGTTTAGTAGAGGAAAAAAATGTGCTTTCTAGAGACAGAAAACAGAATCAGGCTCACTTCTCAAAATCAGGGTCTGTGTTGGGTGTAGCTCAGTGGAAGTGCTTGCCTAACAGAGGTAAAGCCTTGGGGTCCATCCAGAACCACAAACAAACGAAAGCAAACAAAAAGTCAGCCAAGACCAAGCTACTATTAAACACTGCCTGGAACTATGACTTATATGAAGCTGAGGCCTAAGGAGCTAGGAAGCTGTCCTCAGACACAGGACTGAAATTGCTCTAGCCCTGATGTCACAAAGGGACATGAGCCTCAAATATCCATAAATCCTGGCTCACAGCTGGGGACTCTGGAAAATCTAGTTTGAGAACCCACAAAATTACTATTGCAGAGAAATTGGAAATCATCTGTCACTCAAAATGGATCTATAAACCAAGTTCAAAAGTAGTTGAGAAGCCAGGCATAGTGGTTTGTAATCCCAGTGACCCAGGAGGCTGAGACAGGAGGATTGAAAACAAGGCCAGTCTCAGAAAATGAGTGAGGCCATCAGCAATAGTGAAACTCTGTCTCAAAAAAACAAAAAAGGACTGGGGATGTATCTCAGTGCTAAAAATTCCCGGGGTTAAATCCCCTAATACCAAAAAAAAAAAAAAGGAAAGGAAAGGAAAGTCACACAAGGAAAGCCAGCCTACAAAACTGGCATAAAATCACTGTAGTTTAAATTAAGAAAACAAAGCAATTCTAAACAGGGCTTCAAGCCAGATCTGGTGACCTGGTGGCACATACCTGTAATCCCAGCTACTCAGAAGCTAGGGTAGGAGGGTTCTGAGCTCAAGGCCAGCTTTGGAAATTTAGCAAGATCTCATCTCAATAACATTGACAGTACAAACTTTCTTTTTCTTTAGTTTTCTTTCTTCCTTCCTTCCTTCCTTCCTTCCTTCCTTCCTTCCTTCTTTCTTTCTTCCTTCCTTCCTTCCTTTCTTTCTTTCTTTCTTTCTTTCTATGCTGTGAATTGAACCCAACGCCTTGGTCATGCTGAATAAGCTATCTCCTCAGCCCCTTGGTATAAAATTCTAAATCCAAATAAATTACCATCCAGAAATTGGCATGGAAAAAAATTCTTTTTGTTAATTTTGCAGTGCTGGGGGGAAAAATTCTAAATTACATGCATTATTAATATTAACTTTATAAGCATTATCCAGACAGCTTCAATACCTACAAAATATCTGATCAAATCAGAGATGGATGGACTCCATGGACATGCTAATAAGAAAGACCAAGATACTCCAGTATGTAAGGCCACCATGTGACCTGTGACCTCATTCTACAAATAGCCTTTTTTTCTACAGCTTATAGATGACATTTGGTTGATACTCAAACCCAGAGTGCCCACCATAGATTAGGCCAGGTTCACCAGAATGAGGGTGACGTTGAACCAAGGAGCTCCCTTAACTCAGGAACATAAACATGATTGCTGACGTGGAAAGAATCCTGCTTGGGGCCCCTGGGTGAAACCAGAAGTAGAGGAGCCATACCACCAAGTACAAATGTCTCCTCAACTTCCTCCTCCCTCCAAATGAGCCCAGAGTTCTTGGTTGGAACTCACAAGAAGTGGGTACAGGATGTTCTTTAAGTCATTTTTTTCCTTGCGAAGTAGGAATTCCACTTCTGGCTATGAAGAATAACTAGCGCCAGACTTGCCCTTCTGCTATCTACAGCTAGAAAACTAGACAAGGTAACACCGTCTGTGAAAACTCAGAAAAGAGAAATGAATGAGAGGAGAGTCCTATGATCACTCAGATTTTCCCCACACAGGCGGGGCCCCTAAGCAAAGCACAGTCATCTTGCTAAGATGAAGAGCAGAGATTGGAGTGGAGGAGGCGAAAGCTGCTGGACTTTGCAGTACAGATATACTGGAGGGAAGGAAGATATATAGATAAAATAGTTTCAAGTATTATTTTGCCATAAAGAATAAATTGTGTTATTTGCAGGAAAATAGAACTAAAGATTTAATGAAAAACGAAATAAGCCACACTCAGATAAACAAGCATCTCATGCTTTCCCTTACATGCGGAATCTAGGGGGGGAAAGATGATATAGAAGTAGGGGGCACTTAGAAGTAAGGAAGGGCTCAGGGGAAGACAGGAGAGAGGGGAGGGTAAGAAAGGGAAGTTGAGGGTAGGTGTGATCAAAGTATGTTATTTGCATGTATGAATATGCCACATTGAAACCATTTTTCTGAATTAAAATGTACTAACATACGAATGTGATATAATGATTCTCACTATTATGTATAATTATAATTTTTATTTATTTTATTTAAATAAATATACGTTTTTTAAAAAAAAGATGCACTAATAAGAAAAAAGAAAGAAAGATAGTTCTAGATTTACCCAGATGTTCTCTGGAGTCTCTCACTAAATACTATATGGTCATGAGGCAGTAAGACTCTTAAGAGTCAGGCAAAGAATAATTACAAGAGAAGTACTACTGGGAGCTATAAACAGAACAACTCCCAAAGCTGTAACAGGAATGGGAGGTATTAAGTTCAGCCAACCAAAGTGAAAATATTATATTGAGCAGATCTGGGCAGTGCCAAACTTTTAGGTCTGGACTGGCCATAATTAAGGCTATTCTAGACCTGCCCTAACAAATATATAGACCAGAACTATTGAATATGGTACTCACTAGCCACATGTGGCTATTGGCCCTGTAAAATGTGGGTAGTCCAAGCCAAAATGTGCCTGAAGGTATAAATAAAACATAAACAAGATTCTGAAGACTTAGTATAGAAAAAGAATGTAAACTATCTCATTTACTGATTACACATTAAAATATTAATACTTTGGGAATATTGGGTTAAATTAAATATACTATTAAAATCAAACTTAAAAATAGAGATGGAAAGAGAAGAAAATGTTAGGAGAAGAAAATTATTTCCTATTATATAGACTTTGACGAAGGGAAAGAAATTCCCCACTCATATAAGATCCTGGAAGTCAGCTTCAATTATCTGATATGGCTACTAGTGAATTAGTCACATTCCCTTAATATTGCTACTATTATTATATTTGAGTTTGTGATGAAGTTTAAGCTAACTTTAGGGTTCATATAAAAGCTACTGTGCTGTGACACATCTATGTTTAAATTGTGTTCTTGCCAACATGAAAAACAAAAGGAATACATTTAAGGATTAAGAGAGAATCAGTGGTCACCAAATAGTTAGAATGGAATATTAGCTTTCTTACCAGTAAAACCTACACTTTCAAATTTGTACTTTCCTATCCTCATTTTGGTGTCTGAATGTAACCTTGTCCAACAAATTATTGTGTGCTGTTTGAAAGAGGTATTCCTGGCAATAGCAATCTACAGAAGGGATTATTTAGCTATTAAAGGGGCTTTATTAAAAGGAAGTACCTTCTAAGTGATCAAAGAAAGCTTTGAAGCTTTCTCTAAACAGTAGTTACAGAAAAGGACAAGAAAAACAAAAAGTAAACCCCCACCAAAAAAAGAGAGAACTAGAAATCCAAGAACATTGCTTTAATTAAATATTTTAACCTATATTTCCAAACATTAAATGAGGAAGAATCCTTTCTCGATGGAAGCTCTTTAGGTAATTCCAAGTACCTACTTCAGTTTATAACCATCTTCAGGTCATTGTACATCTATATAAACACAAAATAGCCTTTATTAAAGTAGAAATATAAATAGCCTTTACTAAAATTCATATTTAATACAAACTTCCACAGATGTTTTAATGTAAAAATAAACAACTACCAGTAGGCAAAGGAGCTTGTTTGAGAACCTGCAGACAATAACAAGAGCAATTCCTAAAACCTGACAACAGTTTTATCTTTGTAGCCAAAAATAATACAGGGGGAATTGAGGGACATTCTGCAGAGTAGGGACAAAATAAAAACCTTACCACCCTTGATAGTAGACATGGGCTCATGATATGCCATGAAACTGTCACCGGTAAGAACAGTGAGTCTGTTTCAGACCAGGCTAGATAGGCTAAGGGCAGTCTTGATTTATGGGGTCATTAAATATTTCTTTGGCAGTCCTTTCATGTTTGAGAGTGTACTGGGCTGCCAAGATGACAGCAATGGAGGTAGCAAGGGTCTAGTGACATTCTTCTGTTAAAAATGCTTTTGATACCTGAAAAAGAAATCAAGTATTTTTGTCTAGTAAAATGGTACACAAATAGAAAATATTCAATAATTTTAATCCAATCTGCATTTTCCATGCAAATTCAAAACTGAAAATTGGACCACAGAATACCAGTGATCTGCACAAAGGTCTTTGAGGCATAAGTTTATTAAACTCTACATTCAAATATATATGCAAGCTCTGCCTGAATATGTTCCTCTCAGAGTGGTAAATAAAATTTACAAACATGGCAAGATCTCTAGAGTCATCACAGAATCACACAGAAGTAATATAGAAGCAAAGCAGTCTTCCCAGTGACTGATATGGCAGCAAAAGTTCACAGTTTCTGTTGATGTGTGGAAAGAGGACAGCAGTGGGCAGACATTTATACTAATATTCACTAACTACATTCACACTGACAGAACTTCATGTGAGACGCTACAGCATGATCCTAAGCTTTCCCCCTTTGTACACGCTTCTCTTTGAGTGTTTATCATGCCACTGCATTTACTCTTGACCATGCATATCTGTCTTCCCACCTGTCTTAAACATCTTGAAGGAAGAATTCTAAGGTCTTTGAACTCCATAAAGTTATAACTGTACAGATATCACAAATGAAAAAACATAATGCACCCAATAAAAAATTAATTGATATTTACAACCTTTAGCTGCACAAGACTTTTTTCACACTGATTTTACTTTGTTGACTGTACATACTCAGAACTGAGTTAGCTTTTTTTTCACCCTAGGCCAAGCTCTGTCTTTCATTTTCATTTCTGCAGCTTGAATTTTCACGGTCACTAACAACGTCTTTCTGGACAAAATCCTGAATTTTGTCAGCCAGAGCACAAAGATTGGCTTTTCGGAGACTTTGAATTAAAGTGTTATATGCATTCTTCTTGCCATGAAATTGATACCAGTTACGAAGCAGTTGGACTTTCTGCTCAGCTGTATCTTGTGGATTGTCATTCTTGATCTCATCTATCTTGGCTTCATTGATACCATTCTTACGAACAAATTCTCTAACTTGATTGATCGTCATCTCTTCAGCAATACTAATGATGTATTTACTCAGGTCCACATCTGAAAAATAGAATATAGTCTCTGAAAATTTGTTTTTTTTTTAAATGAAATTCCCATTACATAAAATCATGTTTATTCTTTCCCTTACCATAATTAACAAACAGGAAAATCCTAGAGACCCAAATGGCTGATTATGGAAGAACAAAAATAAAAATAAATCTGAATTCTAATTCCAGCTCCTGCTATGGCCCCAGTAGTTTGCTCTCTGATCAGGGCATGACACATAACATCTCTGTTTCTTCCTACCTCCTGTATGAAATAAGAGGTTTAAAAGAAATCAACTCTAATATCCCTCATAGAATTGAAGATCAATGAGCCACAAGCCTAGGTCAAATGACAGAATCAAACAGCATCAGGTATGTTGTTACAGAATTGAGTACAACCAAGACAACTGAGTCTACAATTCTATTTAATTGTCACTCTGAACAGAGGTGCTATAATACACCTAACTGGTTCTGAAGGAACAATTTCTCAGAATGTGATGTTCTGTTGCTACCTGATTTATTTTTAACAATGAGCGCTATAGATTTAAATGAACTACTGAATAAACCCTTGATGGTGAGCAAGAAGAACTGTAAGCCCAAGGGGTAGCAAAGTTCACAATATGTTACTGAAATTAGTAAGACTTTATTCTAAAATTGGCCTACTCCTGCAAAGGAAGCTATCTTTAAGAAATACAATGATAAAGCCTTACCTGAGAAATTCATTGGCTCTATTTCCTGGGGAGAAAAAAAAAATGGAGGCAGGGGAAGAGACAAATAAAAACATATTTAGAATATTCTAAATGTCACTTTCAAATTCCTTAATTCTGAAGAAAGTACATTCAGTTGCCTGATATGTAAAATTAGGAAACTAGACTAAGTGATTAAGAAGGGTTCTTTCATCATTCGAATTTTTAAAGCTTTTGGCCTCACTAGAAACTAAGCAATACTGGCTCATTTTTTACAAAGACAAAGAATCTAAGGAATCCATGAAATAAAATGAGATTATTTTCCATATAGATGCATTAAAGTAAACAACAAACATAAACATTCTCAATTTTTCTTTACTATAGCTATTTTGTTTAACAGCAGAAAAATGGCTCAAAATGAAATTCTTATGTACCATATTGATTTAAAGAACTTAACTCCCTTTGAGCCCTTGCCTCAAATGAAAACATCATTATTCAATTAACAGAAACTGTTTTCTCTTCCCAATGTATAGTTTTGCTATTTGAAATGTCTTGACCCCATGTTAGAAAAAGAAACAACAAGAGATTGGCTTAATAGTTATCTGGAAAGAGTCGGGATGTGCCTTTGTGATAGATTTTAAGAGCAATCTCTTTGCCCAGGCTGAATCCAGGCTTTGGTAAAGGATGTATCCCTGCAGAGGTGACACCAACGTGAAATAGAAACCTTGGCCACATCCTTCCTCCAATTCACATACAGCACACTTCCACTCTCCCTTTTGTTGCTTCTTAAGATGCTAGAAGCTTATTTATAAACTAGGTACCATATCTTAACTAACACTTGATGCTGTTCTAACCCATATATACATTAAAACAATACATGTTTGTTTAAAAGAAAGTAACTATCAAAAAGCTGAATTACTACTTTCTCTATTTTTTCAAGAAATCTGATTCACCTACCCGATTGTTGGGTAGAAGTTCATGGTGACCATGCTTTGTACTGCAGCACTTAAAAATTTTGTATATCCCTGAAAGACCAAAGTAATTTCTATCAGACTCAGACCTTAGCCTGGTAGAAAGCATGAGAAGATACTTTCACACTAAAATATATAAAAAAGAAGAAAGAGAAATTCACGGAAACTTTAAGTGGCCAAACACAACAGGAAATGGCACTGTGCTAAACTTACCCCCACTGAGTCAAGTGTTCTAGAGACAGGCCACATCTTAACTGAATCATCCAATTATCACACCCTGGCCTTACGTGAAGTTGACTTTTGACTGACTCTATGGCCACACCACTTCCTTCCGCTCCAGCATGGTGGGTGGCATGACAGCAGAAGGGCTCAGAAGCCATAGGATGTGGAATTGAAATCACCCTGCTGGTGCAGGGCATTTAATGCCTAGAAGTTCAAGTACATAACACTTACAAGTAACTCACATTCAATAAGTGTTTTCCTTGAAGTTATGATGAGATGGAAGAAAGGAATCTATATGTCCCTGAGTATAACTGTTTAAACACCAATTATGTGTTTTTAGCTAAACAACCTCTAAAGCTAAGACAAAAATCATATTTCAGTTGAAGAAGCAGTGACTTGTTCCAAAAAAGAAGGAAAAGTGTGATAATTCTGAATTACTGGAAGATGGTGTGACCCTGTATTTTATATGGTTAAAGCTATCTTCCAAACTAATTATGATTATATCCAATCTGGGGCTTATCTGCTAACTTTAATAAATGATCCTTGCATAAAATGTGTTGCCATCATATTTTAAGTGAAGTAGGAGAAATGTTAATTTTAAAAAAAACCAGCTTGGTCAAGGTTCAGGAGGTACAAAAAGGGATCAGTTTATCAAGTGTCCTTTCAATTTTGTTCCAAGGATGGCCCTTGCTTTTGTGTTTTCTTAACTCATAGGAGAAACTTAATGAATAGTGAAGGATTACTTCTGATTTTTAGCTGTTACTGCAGAGAACCCTTGCTTAGAGGGAGGATGGGAATACCACTCAATTCCCTAAAACTGTTCATCAGAAACAGCAGCAGAAGGTATCATCTGTTCTTATTAGCTTTTAGGAGTATGTTCAGTAGCAGGAGATCAACGATACAACAGAGCTACACTTGGTAGCTTTCTTACAGATAGAAGACAGAGAAAAATTCTTGTGGGCAAAAATTCAAATCTATAGTTTGAACAAACTAAGAACTTACCAAAAGCTATAAGTGGGAATAGCAGGAGGAACCACAGCCAGTTATAATTGAAACCTGTAGCTGGAAACATTGAACATTTTATATGAAAACAAGCAATTTTTAAGATTAAACAAAATATTGTACTCTTAAATAATTAAAATCAATTAGTTTTTCTTCATATTTAATGGTGAGGATAGGAGAGAGGAGAATATAAAAACAAAAAAAATCATTACTTTCTTTTTTGCATTTGCTATTGCTGGTGGGTGTACATTTCTCAATGATTCCATGTTCACACCTAGAAAAAAATACAGGAGAAATTCAGAAAGCCTGGGTTGATTCCTTCATCATTTTCAATGGAACGTGTATATTTGGGACCATTTTATTCATCTTTATGTCTCTGAGAAATATTTTTTCCCAAATATATCTAGATTATCATCTAAAAACTAAGTGCAAGTTAATAACATGATTTTGGGTGTTTGGATGAAAAAAACACCAAGAGTTACTTTGTTTTAAGACACCAAAGTTAAAGGAAGATAAAATATTGGCATACAAGGGAAGATGAAATAGACAAACAAACTTCAAACTGACAATAAACCAAACTCTTAAAATACCAGACCTTAAAATAAACTATCTTTTAAAAAATGAACTACCAAGATAAATTTCAAAAAAGTATCATAAAACATTAAAATGCCCAGAGAGCAGACAATGCTCAGGATATTGCGTAGGGAAGCTATTCAACTAGCTTCTTTGGGTTGCCATTCCTAGAATCAAGGAGTGATAAGGAGAGTCAAGAGGCTCAAGTGGAATTTTCTTCATAAGTCAAACACTGACAGAGACCCAGTTTACATCATCATCTTTAGCAATTAAGGGCACAGGAAGTATTCAATCATGTTTGAATGAGTCAATGGTCATCTAGTTGCTTGGAAGGAGAAACAAAACCAGAACCTTGAGTCTTGGTCAGTGTGGGCTTCTCTCTAGGAAGACATTCTTTATTCGGGTACGCCTAATATTTTCATCACTGAAAGACTAAAACTTACTTGGTGCACGGGTCACAGTGTTCACAGAGAGCAGTTTCACAATAAAAGTTCAGTTTACATCTGCATTTGGTATTCTGGGTCTGGGTACAATTTGTTTCCACTTCTAAGCCTAGAAATTCAGTTTGGAAAATATTAATTATAGCAGCTAGTTATAAATGAACTATGAAAATAATGTTCAAGGGCAGCATGGATTTTTGAGATCCACTGCTAAGATCAAGTTATATCATCAAGCCTTTAGTAACATAGGTAATGTTAAATAGCAACACAAATACTCACAGGTTAAAATAGCCAGCAAAGTTTTAAGTGAATAAACAATCCAGCAACAAAGATTATCCTGCCATTGGTTAGATGGTTCCTCTCTTCCTCTAGCCTAGACCCTTGCTACTAAGAAATAAGCCCATGGACTAGCAGTATAATCAATACTCAGAGCTTGTTGGAATTGAGAATGTCTAATTAGACCAAAGCCAAGGCCATCACTTAAGAGATTCTGATTTAATTGCTGTAAGGTGAGACCTAAACACTGGCAATTTTTAATAGCTCCTTGGGCAATTCTCACACACACAGCCAGGGTTGAGAAACCTTGCTTTAGAGCCTAAATAGGGAAAAGAAAAGCTTTTTGTCCAGTGGGCTTTTGATACCAAAAAAACCTAGGAGTCCTTCTGTTACATTTTAATTTGCTCCCTCAAAAGAGATTGAGATATCCATAAAAATTCAGGTCCCCAAGTGGAATTATCAAGACAAATAAGATCTCCAAAGATAGGGGAATATGCTACCCACATTTTGGGTTTCTCTGCCCTTGAGTCTATAGACTTCTAAGCTCTTTATGGCCATGAATAAAGACCATTATACAAGGAAAAAATCAAGGCAGGATAAAAATAGTTTCTGTGGTTTTGAATGGAGATGATGAATCCTTTGATTTGATATTTAGTCATTTGCCTTCATCTGAGAGAACTGCTGAGACTTGACCCACAAGTGTCCAGACCAGTGAATTTTAGCTCAGTACCTGGTCCTGCATTGCTCCAGCCAGCCTCATTCTGCACCTTCCTGTGTGTCAGCATCATATCAGAAGAGGGGCCAATCTCAAATTGTACTACAAATGGTTCTACATGAAGTACCAGGTTTGGGCTCTTTTTATTGCTTCCTGAGACACTTACCATGTCCTCCATCACAAAACTTACATCTTCTGCATTTAGGAGAATAATGTTCATTATCTGTATACTCCTTCCCTTCTTGGCAGGGCACGCATATTGGCTTTCCCCCATTGGCTTTGCAGTCAGCATCTTTTCTTGTACCTGAGGGGGAAAAAAAATCAAGTATTTGAAGGTAAGGTGGCTATGTAACAGCATGGGGAGTGCACAGGAATTATTATGGCTTGGATGTGAGGTGTCCCCTCATGTGTGAGACAATGCAAGAAGGTTTAGAGGAGAAATGATTGGCTTATGAGATCCTTAAACCAATCAATGAATTCATCCCCTAATTTGGATTAATTGAGTGTTAACTGAATGGGGGTAGGGTGTGGCTGGAGGAGGTAGGTCATTGGATGCATGCCTTTGGAGTATGTGTTTTGTATCTAGCTGGCAGAGTCTCTGCTTTCTGATCATTACATGAGCCACTTTCCTCTGCCACACTCTTCCACCAAGATGTTCAGCAAAGGAATGGAGCTGGCTGTCTTTGGACTGTGACCTCTAAAACTATAGGCCCTCAAATAAACTTCTCCTTCTCCTCAACAATTGTTCCAGTCTGCTTCTTTTAGTCACAGTAGAAAAAAAAAAAAAAACTGACAACACTCCTAAAATGGGGTAGGGGCATTTAAGCTAATGATATATAAATACAATGGGGAGAAGATTATTATAAAAAAAATCAGTTGTGAGTGAGAAAGTCTTCTAAGACAAAAGCTAAAAGAACGAGTAAAGGAATATGCCTAGAGAAACAAGATAATTAAGAATAAGAGCATATAAAAAGTGGGAGATGGTCTGGGATTGTGGCTCAGTGGTAGAGCACATGCCTAGCATGTGTGAGGCACTGGGTTCTCAGCACCATAAACAAGTAAATAAATAAAGATCTACCAACAAATAAAAACAATATTTTTTTAAAAAGTAGAAGAGAGGTGAGAATGATCAAATGCACTTAAAGAAATTCTTTTGCCAACTAATTTCTTGGAAAGGGGAGAAGCCTGGGAAATACTCAGAGCAAAATGGCTGTCACTGACTACAGAGATTACTGAATTAATTTTGTTCTAATTTCTTATTTTACTTTGAAAAGTCCACAAATCCTAATAAGAGATAATGTAGTTTTAGGGAAAGGACATTAGATGTTCCAAACACCTTGGTCAAATCTTTAGTACCTATAAAATCTATAACAAAGTATTTAGTCTCTCTAAGCCAAAATTCTGTCATGCATAAGATGGAGATAATAATCCTTCTCTTACATTGTTATTAGAATGCATCTGTATAGTTAATGTAGAGTTAATGCTCAGTTTACTCCTCTCTCCCTTTTCTTTCTACTCTGTTTCCATCCAGGAATAAAGTCCAATTTGCTGGACAAGCATAAACATATTGATAACAAAATTTATTATCAGGGTTGTTATCTTAATGCAAACAGTTTTAAATAATATTCCGGTTTCCTTTAATTTACATTAAAAATAAAGCATGGCATTGATAATACTAAGCATTATGCAACAATATTTTCTGGTAAATTTACACATTTAACAAGAGCTTATTAAATGCCTGTTGTGTAAGAGGCAGTTTCTAGGAGCTGGAAATGCTAATAAGAACTAGCATGAAATGTGCCTAGCACAGTAAGAAATAAGTTAAAGCCTTCATTGCAAGACTTTCACCTTCCCAGGCAGATAATGTGCAAATAAATATGTGAAGTCCAGGGGTGACAAGTGCTATGGGTAAAACTAGATTAACATAAGGGGACAGAGAATGAAGAAGAAAGAGACCGAAAATATAAACAGAAAAGCATCACTAGTGACTAATTATTAATGGTACAACTAATTTTAAAAGATACACAAAGCTAATCCACTCCACTCACATATACAGCAGAAAATAATTTACACTGTTTCCCAAGTATGTGACTTTATTAATAACTTTATAACATTCTTATTGATTAAAAAATATTTACTATAAGCAAATTATGAAATTTCAATATATATATGATATTTTAGTAAACAAAAACAACAGTCTGTCAATATAAAGAAAAAAATAAGCAAATCATGGAAACCCAGAACAGAATTCAAACACAGGGCATCGGGGCTAGGTAACATCGAGGCAGCATGCTAAGGAACACAGTGAAATAACAACTGTGTTTCCTGTGAGTCGTATTATACTGATTTCCAAATGGATTGCTCTCTTCCATGAACTAGCATGAAATGTGCCTAGCACAGTGTAATAGGAGATATAAGAACTCACATATTCTTTGCTCCAAAGTATAAAAATTAAATTTTTTTTCTTTTGGTACTGGGGATTGAACTCAGAGGCACTTGACCACTGAGCCACATCCCCAGCCCCATTTTGTATTTTATTTAGAGACAGGGTCTCACTGACTTGCTTAGTGCCTCGCTAAGTTGCTGATACTGGCTATGAACTCATGATCTTCCTGTCTCAGCCTCCCCAGCTGCTAGATTACAGGCATGTGCCACGGAGGCAGGATACAATTTTTTTTAGATGAAAAATTAGTGACTGTCCCCCCCCAAAAAAATGTATAACGCATTATTTTCTGAGTATAATGATACATAATTATTATAAAAAGTTTGGGAAAAGGACATATGAAAGCACTTATATATCAACTACCTTGAGATATTATTTTGTTGCACTGATATGCATATAAACACACACACATACATGCATATGTGTGAACATATGTATGTGTAACAGGTGTGTGTGTGTATAGTGTGAATGTAACAAACTACAGAATCCTTATTGTATATGACACTATGATTGGGCCTTTTTGATTGATTAAAAATGTCAATTCACATATGGAATCATTAAAAAATACTGCATTTTATTCTGATTTATAAAGACTCACTATGTAATTATTTTCTAATTATGTGACACTGAACAAACACATTAGAATTCCAGATGCTTTATCGCTTGTCATACCCATAATGTATCACCTCTTTACTTTCCTGTTGGTTATTTCCTTCTTTTTCTTCCTTTCTTTCTCTCCTTCCTCACATCTTTAGTGCTAAAATGAAAGCTTAAATACATCAATAGTCTGTCTGAATGCCTGAAGTTCTCCAAAAATTTCAACCAAGTTTTCCTAGAGATAAACTTATATCTTCTCAGTATTAATAATTCATTGATTTATATAAGTTAATTAAATTACATTAAAATAATAGTAACAATGAATACAAACAGATTTGGAAGCAACTTGAATACTGATAAGCCAAAAATTCAATAACAGTGAATAAAAGTGAAAAGAGTGTTTATCCTGTATTTGATGCCACCTAGGATCCTTAGAGAAAAGAGCAGAGAGAAGCAGTTTATCCAGTCAGCAAGCTAGTTGGCAATCATGAAAGGGGATTTATACAATTAAAGACTATATTAGAAATATATCAGAAATTCTGCTATACTTTGACTTTGATTGGCAGAAAACTACTTTTTTAAATACTCCAGAAGTCACTTAAGCAATCCCACATCATTGGGTATCACAGTGAAATGCCATGCATTCAATACTTTATTTTTTACTATTTTCTTAAGGCATTTTCTATAAATTAGTGTGTCAGTGGTTCTAAACATTTTTAAATTTTTGACCTGTACTTATATAAGTTTGTATCATTAACATTCCTATAGTGGTAGAATGAGTTCTCATCCCATAAGCTAACTCACAAGGGCTGAGATCCTTTCTTAAAGGAAAATAAAACAAAGCAAAAAGGCAAAAATTCTTGACAGACTGATATATATACAAAGCATACTATTTTTTATTTTAACTTTTGTTTTAGATTTTAAAACTGTGAACATATTCCAATTCATAGGGAAAACTGATCCTGTTCAGCAAGTTATAAGAAAGTTAAGAAGCCATTTTTCATTCCTGTTGGAAAAGGGTAAATATAAAAGGGTGTAAGTATAAGTCAGTTGTATTATAAGGGATGTTTTTCCAAATCTGAACTGGAAGCTAAGGGGGACTCTTAGAGAATCTTTTCACATACCTGATTGATGCCTGCTTTGCACTGGTAGAGTGGGAATCCTGGGAGATCAACAAGTCCTACTACAGGTCTACTACAATTTTTTCTGGCCCTATTAATCTGTTGCATAAATCACACAAACCCATGTATTGCTTTCCTATACCTTCCTGTCTTCACAATACAGTTGAGAAAGATCCACACCTGTAATGTACTAGTAATCAACTCCAAGTTGGAAAAAAAAAAAGTTTGTGCAATTACATCTGGCTTAGTTTCTAATTTGCTAGTGTTTGAAGGATTTCCGATATGAAATTGATTTGCATTTCAAAATACTGACTTTTAAAACTTATTGATTTGTGTCCGTTACATTTCTAGTTCATCTAGTTATTCAGCTGCAAATGCAAATATATTTTGCAGGCTTCAGTGCCAGGACTAACAGTCTTCTTAGAGACCTGACTGAGGGGAAGTGTGAGACATAGCCTATAAGGGTGAGAGTCCCTTGCTTTCAGAGCTTCACTATTGTTATAATATATCCTAGTCAGTTTTAAATGATAAGCTTTAATACCCACAAATAAATCCTCTTTTGCTCATGAGAAATGGAGCTAAATAGACAAATCTCTCATTTTGGTGGTACACATAATTTGTAAATTTCACTTAATCATAATCATATCAAACAAGTTTGATAAAGGCAAATACAGCTGATCTTTTGAAAATAATTTCATAATTGGTATATTCCTCCAGTAATATTATAACGCTAAAGGGTAATCAAAACTTGTAAAGATAATGGATTCATTATTACTGATGCTACCCCTCACCCTGATTTTCATTCCTTTCTCTGAATATTTTGTGTGACCTACCAGGAGGACACAGCTGACAGCAGAACTGGCCTCCATGATGCAGGCCTTCTGAGCACTGAGTCTCAGCTTTTGTAACATTCTCCCTCAAGTCCGACACCTCAGTCGCTCGAGCTCTGATATTTTGGGGCAATGATCCAACAATAAAGGCAAGTATCTGTAAAAGAAAAGCATGAAGAGAATTTATTGATTTCTGAAACAAGTAACCTGGGAAATGAGTGTCACTGAGCCAAATGATTAGGTCTGCTGTGCAGAGGCAGAGTCAATGTTGGGGCCCCACCCTCCTGCTCACTAATCACTGAAAAAGGAGCACACCACCTGCCTACAGCTCAAGCTAAGTCACACAAGAAACAGCGTCATGCATGGGAGGAACCAGAGCTGTGCTCAAAAGTAAGCACTAGCTCCTACTTACAGTGCCCTGTGCCACGGATAAAGAACTTAAATTGTTTCCTTATCCACACAGTGGAAATCATCTCTTCTCATACATCTGCTGTAATAATTAAACAGAATCATGCACTTAAAGCTCTTACCACAGAACGGGGTGCATCATAAATAGGTGCATACTAAACACTGGTATTATTGTGACTATCATAAAGTTGCAGTGAAGGATAGCATAATGCAATTGGGAAACAGAAATTTCAAAATGTCAGTGGTTTGAATCCTAGTTCTGCTATCAGAACTGTGACTTTAGGCAAGTCACATAACTGCTCTGATACTTGATTTCTTCATCTGCTAAGTGAGAACAGTATTTTCTATCTTAAAAGGGTTGTTATGACAATAAGAAGTGATAATTTCTATCAAACCTACTACTTAGCTTACAGGATGGCAATTTCTTCCCTTCTTATGTACTAATGCAGAATCAATGGTTTATGATTAAATCTTCATGTGTTATCCAAGCATACAATAAATATTTCATTAAAACCAAAAGTATATTCTTTATCTTTGTTCTGGAAAATAGTCTTTTTTTTATAGAGAACCAACATTTAATGTCCTTTGATTCCTTTCTCCTTCAAACAAACACTCATAACTCAAGTGACATTGTGTCAAACTTAGCTAGCTATAGAGTGGAGTTCCTTAGGAACATGAAGAGGAAAAAAATGTATATGTATACTATATATAAATATTATATATTTTATAAGATAATAAAAACACCCCCTGCTTTGATCCTTCTTTGGGTTTCCTAAGTATTTTTTTTCTCTCTAAACATAATTTTTAAAAATCATTCATCTTACATATAGTAAGTAAGTTCTATTACCAGTCATTTTGCTGTTAGTTTTGAACTTTGTTTTCTCAAGATTATTTTCATAGCTTTCCTGTGTGTCTTTTTTTCCCCCTACTATATGGCAGAGCCATAATACTGGCTACCAAAAAGTCACAACTTCCCTCTCAGCCCTTTTTCCTTCATCACTTAAACTGGCATCATCCCCTTCAGACCACAGGATACCACAGGACTTATGACTGAGAAGATAAGGAGGGGTCAAGAGATGCAGTGGCCCACATTTCCTCCTGGGATGGATGTGTCTTAAGATGCATTTCTAACATCCAGACTTTCCAAGAGGGAAAATGACACCAAAATACCAAGGAAATGGTTGACATGTCCAGGGTCATGTCACTTACTAGCAAAAGAAGAGCTCAGATTTATCTCCTAACTTCTACCATATCTTTCTTCCCCCTTTACTCAGCAGTGGTGGACTTAATATAAAATACAGCTGACTTTCCAATTATGAACAATTCAATGTAAGGAACAGTTGGAATTGGCACACAGATGAAAAGAATGGTACTAAATATGCTGGCTTTCCCACCAAACCACTGCCAAATCTATCTAACACATTTGTTGAGCCAAGCTTGGAAAATACAAAGGTAACTAACTTTAATTACAATGGAAAATTAATGTCAAGTTTCCAAAAGCAGAAGAACCTCAGGCCTCACACATGCCAAAGACTCTACCACTGAATCTACATCTCCAGGCCAATACCTGCATTTTATTTTATTTATGTTTATATTTTTATTTAGTTAGTTATTGTAGGAATTAAACCCAAGGCCTTGAACCCAAGTAAACACTGTAGTACACAACCCCAAGTCCGTGGCTTTTATGTTTTAAAACATAAATCTATGATCTTTTTTCTAAAACACAACAAACATGCAGTTTTGAACAAAATAGCATTATTGACCTCAATCTCTCTTTTTAGGATAACAATTCTCCTTTCTTTCTCTGCCACAAAAGGTCATGCTGTTATCCTGCTAATATTAATCCCACTTTTATATCAGAGAATCATAGCTAGGTAACAGAATTGGGCACTCTAGGAAACAGTAATGTGATTGGAGGTATACCAAAGTGTTAATTGCTAAGATAGGAGAGGCTTTCAAATGAAAGTTGTCCACATTTTTAAGACTCTTT